GAAACTGGTGGTGCAGCTGATGATTGAGCATGAAGATGTCTTATTCTAAGGACTGGGGCATGCACGACTTTAACAGAAACGAAGGACATTTTATTTATTCTGTGTAAGAGGAAATTCAAGCCACCTTGGTTTTAATGAAGTTTCTGAACACTTTGTAATCAAATTGAACTTGAAACCCTTTGTTCTCGCATGACTGTTTTGTTGGAATTGGTTTAGTGTTGACTCTGTCTTGTTACTGTATGTTTTGGGTTTTCATAACCTACCAAGACCATCATTTTTATATAAGGAAAGGATCCAGTATTTTAAACTTCCAACAGTGCTGTTCCCTCCTGTCTTTAATTTGAAGGCTGTCACTACCTGGTGTAGACTCAGTCATGATGACAGCGCTGCGTGAAATCTTCCCCAGGCATATGTCAATCATTGCTGGTGCTGTTTTTAACCGAGCCTCACAGCAGCAGCGTAAATAACGTTGCCACATCACAACTATGCATATTGTGATTTTAGTGGGAACGCTGGTTCAAATTTGAATTGTAGATACAAATCAGATCAATTCACGATCAATATTTAAACGCGTGTATTAAAAAACTAAATATGAGACAGTTGGGCGCTCATGAAGCACTTTTTCGCAACAATTGTAAAGAGTTATTTTGTAAAGATGTTTATTTTTGTCTTTTACTCTGCATCATGTTCTTTTGTCACAATAATATATGCTGTTGAGAATGACGTGTGTTGAATTGATGTCTAAATACAAATCTAACTAGAGGACAGACCGAGTTTGTAAATTAAACATTTTTATTTGCAATGTACTCAGTGTTATGGTCCCTAATCAAAAGGTGGATTTCATAATTGCCATTTTTAATTACAAGTCCTATCGCAGAATTATTGCAAAACTCTTCTGCACACATGTTGCTTGCCAGTTTTGTAGAATTTCTGTTTACACGCTGTATTTTGGGATTACTTTTATATGATCTGGGCCCATTATTTCTTTCTTTTTGTATGCCAGTAACATCGCTCGGTGCAGCAGTAGTTGCCATTCACTTCAATGTGCCATAGAAGTTAACAGTCAAACTACAGCTGTACCGAGCATGTTTCTTTCACAGTCGGTTTGATGTGTTTAAGTAAATCCTTTCTACAAATCCATTCAACAAAATGTATTTTTGTGACGGTTGCAACTAAAAAAATGTAATTTATCAAATGTTCATTTATTAAAGGAAAAAAAACTTCAGTTTGAAAAAGTTTGATCCTTTGTCCTTTCTCACAATGTTTATTCTTTCTTTTGACATACTTTTACTGCAGTGTGATGACGGTAGAAGAGGTTCAGTGAGAATAAGGCCCGCCCTATGCTAGTGGTGATAGATTGTAGCCTGAAGCACAGTGAATCACAGGTATGCTGTTAACAACCTTTTTTCTTTTCAATCTATTAAAATATCCTTAGCAGGGTGTTTTACATGGAAGGCCTTATCTTGTATACTATCTCTTACTTCCAAATATTCTACCTACTCATCCAGTTTTACTTGCAGGTATGGTCAGCAGAGTGGAATGTTGCCAGAAAACAAACGGCCTCTTTGTGAGAAAACATACTGTAGTTGCACCACAGTGATCACTCTGACTCGCTACAGTATTGACACTCTCTCGCAGAAACCTGTTTGTGGTTCCTAAGGAAAAAAACTGGGGCATGCCAACCTTCTTTAGAACATCATTTCAGCAGGAAAGATTGCAACAGTAACGGCAGCTTCTTTCACATTTATTTAAATAATTACAATAAGATTAGTATACGTTTTATTGTTAGGTTAAGGAGTAACTGAATTGTTTTATAGTGGCTTTAATATTAAAAAATAAATGTCTGTAAGCATGCGTGTGGCAGTTTATGTTATGTGAAAAAGAGGTTGTATTCTCTTCAATTTCAACTTCATCAGACAATATTACCTTCTTTTTTTTATTTAACTTTAGCTTCAATCGACTGTCAAGATTAATTAAACCAAAATCTTTCAAAGCTTTGATTTGTATGGTTGAAGGTAAAGAACAGAACTGTCCTGACAACAAACACCCATCTCACTATAGCTACTTTAACCTTTGAAACAGTGTGCTTCCTGTTGATGCACAACAGTTCTTTGTTGGCTTGTGGTGGGATATTTGACATACAATAAATACAATTTGACAGAGCTATGAGTACTCCTGTTAAAACATTATTTATTTATTTTATTTGACAGGGACAGTGCACATTGATTGACATTTCTGTAAATGCGCCAGAGTTAGCCAACAGGCTATTTTTCATCTGCAGTCCCTGGACAGATGTTGAAAGTCATCCTAAAAAAAATAATTCACTTCAAATGACAGGTAAATACAATCAGTAAAACAACATTCAACATACATGCTTATATTATGATAAAAGCATATATAGAAAACATAAAAACAAAACTAAAATACATATTCCCAAAGTAGCCAGATAGCAACAGGTCAAGGCACATGTACAAACAAAGCGTTGTAAAGTGCAGATTGTGTCAGTGTTGGCGGAGCTGATTTTCCACTAACCATGTTTTTAAGTTAGATTTAAATAAACTGTAGGTGTAGGTTTTGTTCTCTAATCTTTACTGGGATTGAGTTCCACTGTTGTACAGCTTTAAAAGAAAAAGAAGATTGGCTGAATGAACTCTTCTTTAATGGAACAACGCAGTCTCCTCTTGTTTTCTGAAAGACTATCAATACAAAACATATGTATCCTCTGGTTTCAGCAAGACAATTTTGTAATTTCAGTACTGTTTTAAGTAGTTGTCTATTCCCTGCAAATGTAGGGACTACATTCTGTGTGCCATTGAGGCAATGTGATTGTTGCTAAATCCTTACTGTTGTACATGGTCCGAAAAGAAAAATAAATAGTCATTACTGCAAGTGACTGAAACATTTCTATATAAGCCCAGAGCATCCCTCTCCACCATTCCCTCAAGGCATGACACAGTATATAACTGCATCTCCTTTTGATCTGCCAGAAACAGTATGACATCTAGAGACTGAAAGAGGGACCCCTGACAGTACACAATTGCTGTTTTGAGTTTTAATCAAGGTTTGTACTATGACACAAAATATAGGACAAGAGTGCCCTCTAGTGATTTATGAAGACATACACAGAAAAAGTACCACCTTCCAGTGTCACATCACCAAGGCTGACTGCATAGGTTCAGTTATCAGCACATATATTGTAAAGATACAATAAAATATAGCTCAGTTTAATTCAAACCTGTTTATTTAATAAAATCCAAATCCCTTAAAATAACAATGAATCCAATACTGTATCTTAAATGCATATGTGGGGATGTCAGTGCAGAATGGAGATATAAATTAAATTATGGATTTCAGTTTCCATGAAATGTTCAACCAAATGTGAAACAATACTGTTCAATTGGAGTGTAAAAAACAATACAATTGGAGTGTAAAAAACTTTTTTTGAGGATATTCATGAATCAAACACTGTTTTCTGTAACAGGGCAAAATTGTCGGCCCAAATTTTTGATAACAATTACAAAGGAACAATAGACAGCATTGGCAGTAAGTTAGATGATGTCAGTCCTTTAGAGCTCATCGTGTTGGTAAGTGAATTCCCTCGCAGATATAAAACCATCTTCATCTTCATCTTCATTTTTGAAGATGTCATCCACCATCACTTCATGATTTGTATCATTTGGGGAGTATCCATGCTTTTCAAATTCTTTCTTCAGGTACTCTCTCACCTGCAAAGCAGACAGTATAACAATAATAAAGCACAAGCAATATAAATATATCTATATATTCTGTGAAAAGAAAACACACCTCTTCTCTGCAGAGCTTCCAATCATCATTTAGATCCATCTCTCGGAAAGAATCGTGTGACCTGGGACCATTTCGAATCTCCATAAGCTCAATGTCAAAAATGAGTGTACTGCCTGGAGGGATCTTGCCTGTAACCAAGAAAAGGGCTAATTTGTAAAGAAGCACAAAGTGTTTTATAGTGGAACAGAGGGGGGCTTTGAACCCACAGACCCTCTCAAGCATGTTTTTGTGTGTTTGTGTCTGATACCTTTTCCTTCCTTGCCATATGCCAGAGATGAAGGGACTGTCAGTTTTCTGCGCTCTCCTGCACACATGTCCTTCAGGCCCTTATCCCAACCCTTTATCACCTCTCGAATCCCAAGAGTGAACCACACTGGATTGGTATCCCCATGTTTCCGGCTGCCAAGAGTGACAAAGATCCATCACATTTCATTTAGAGAAAGAAAGGTCCACTGAAATGACAATAAAAGCCTTGCATCCTTGAACTACATACAACATTGATAACACAGATATGTACAATAACAATCCATGGCTGGCCCCTAACTTTAAAGAGTCAAGCATTAATTGTTAAAGACTCAATGGACAGGGTCACACATGCTGAGTTTTGGGCTGCAGCATAGTGTAGTCTAGATACATATTTAGATTTGTACAGCTTTTTCCAGCAGTGACTTTTCCTGCAAAGGGAGTGTCTAACACAATTGCATTACAATTCATGCAGCATTATGACACTTTACAGCAATAGATTAGCCTACCTGGAAAAGAACAGTGTGCCATTACTCTCCAAGTATCCCTCGTGGTGGACAAGAAGCATGTCTCCATACTTTGAATTACGGTAACACATGAAGGGTTTATGTAAAACTTCAATTTTCACTTCTGGCTCAGGCAGTTTCCCTCCGAACACAAACAGTGAGGGAAAAATCAAACAAACAGAAAAAAGAAACATTTTTGAAAGAACCTAACTAACTAACTAGCAAAATGTACAAAAAGCTAATTTAAACCTTTCCATAAAATAAAGTTACAAAAATAAATACATGGCAGGAATGCCAACTACGTGGCAGCCAACTTCTGCATGAACGCAGCCACTGTTGTTCAGCTTGTCTGCCCTCCTCCCTCTACAATTGGATAGAATATTTCAGAAGCCCCGCCCTTTATATGTGTTCTCTCATTCTATTGGTTCTTCTTTGTGTCAATCGCCACAAACCACACCCACAGTATTAAATCCATCTGATGTAAATGGGAGGAACGTCGTTAGCTCCTCTTAAAGGAGCTTAGAGCTCGATTCGCGAAATAGTTTACGTACTTTTATCTACGTAGCTGACATTCAAAGCCTCGGACGCTACTTCACAAATCACTCTCGGGGCCCGATGGAGTCGCTGCAATCAGCTGTGCATCATATCTTGTTATGATAAACAAGTAATGAACGGCTAAACACACAATTAAACATGGAAGGAATGCTACATAAATGGACCAATTACATAAGTGGTGAGTTTATCCCACAGACGTTGCGTGTTTTGGGTTTTTGTGCTCGTTTTAAAAACGCTAGCTAGCATGACAACGTCACTTGTATTGAGTTGGAGATAACGTTTACAGGCAAGCTAACGTTAGCTACCATGGGTTTAACTGTCGGAGATTATCCACCACATTAAATTAACTAACGCTTTTCTTTGACGTTGCTTGGTTAGCCGATTAACAAATAGGAATGTAACCTAATTAATGTAGTCTTGCAGGAACGCTATCTAATTTAGGCATGTCTCTGTCAATATAATGTAATTTAACAACTGATTAGCTGCTGCTAACATAACCTAAGGGTTAACTATTTTCTTTGTTCATGAACCTAGAGCACAATGTTTATTTTGATTTCCACTTTTGAAAAGTGAACCCCCTATAAAACTTGTTAAAACGCAACGTTGCATATCTCTGAAAAATATGAATTACTTTTTTTCAGGCTGGCAACCTCGTTGGTTTGTACTCGATGGGGGAACCTTGTTTTACTATGACTCTCAAGAAGATGCCTTGAAAGGTTGCAAGGGCAGCATTAAAATTTCAGTTTGTGAAATCCAAGGTTAGTTTGGCTCACTATTTCCTGTCTACTGTGGTTCGTTCCTCAAGAGTGTAACTTTCTTATGCCTTTTGGATATAGTCCTGACATGTCTCCCTGTTTGTTTCAGTGAATCCCTCGGACTCTACACGAGTTGACCTGACTATACCAGGAGAGCAGTACTTTTATCTCAGAGCCATCAATGCAGCAGAGAGGCAGAAGTGGCTGGTGGCATTGGGAACAGCCAAAGCTTGCCTTACAGATAACCGAACAAAGAGAGAAAAAGGTATTTGAATGTCTTATCATCCCAAACGGACATTGCATGGATTGCAGTTCCACAGCTAGTATTTTATCATTAACATGGCTGTCATTCTTACAGAGCTCCAGGAGAATACAGATGCACTGAAAACTAAGATGTCAGAACTCAGATTGTACTGTGACCTTCTTCTACAACAAGTAAACAAGATCAAGGAGAATGATGAGCTAGGAGACACAGCGGAGGTAAGGTTAAGGTTTGGATGAGCCAACGAAATAAGAGTAGCTGCTGTTGGTGTGAAACTGCAGTATAGGGCAGGCCATTGGCAACTAGAAGACATCAGATTGTTTTGTGCTTACTGATAGACCAGACAGGACCCCACATTTAAAGTATGCTTCTTTCAAACATTTTACTAAATTGTATACTCATCTATTTGTATGTGTGTGCTCTTTTCAGACAGAAATAGACACTGGGAACATGGTGAAGTCTACATGCACAACTTTCCTTAAGACTCTTGAGGAATGTATGCATATAGCAAACCGTACGTTCAGTACAGATATGCGAACACACAGTCCACCAGGATCTCCTCCAGTAGCAGCCATCAAACCTCAGAAGGTAAAACATTTTTCACCACTACAATGTCAACTCATAACCAAATAACGTCTAATAAAAACTGTATGGCTTGTTTGAACTGCCTTATGTCTTGTTCCTTCAACAGATCAAACCTGTCAATCATTTAAATCTTGGAGAAAAGTAGGTTGTCTTTTTTTACGTCATTATGTATTTATATTGCTTACACTGCTTATCCCTCTCATTAACTGTCACATGTATCTTAAAGTACCACTCAACAAAATGAGGCTGAAACGAAAAACAACTTTTATGGTGTTATAATATTGTGTCCTTTTTAATGATTATGACACAATTGGCAATTATATTTGCCCAAAATAAGTGCATGCCATTTTAATTTTTTTCAATTACACTCACACACCACACACATTTATTGCAGATGGAGAGATTTGTCTGAAACTTCAGGAGAAGCAGTACCACAGGACAACCAGAGCCTTGACTCTGGCGCAGAGGGACCAGCAGAGCCAGTCGGACCAGGACAACATTCTTCCCCTTCAGGTATGTCGGCTTTCCCAACAACTCCCTGCTCGTGCTGCGGCATTCCCTGAACCGAAACCATTCCTGCATTCCATAAAGGAAAGCCCGCACAGATCAAACATGGCATGGTTGCTGTGTGTTCATCATCTGAACTGAAGTGGATACCTGATTGCCTTTAGTGAGCTGACAGTGATGGATGCCCCAGTTACTTTATTGCATTTCCCTTAGCAGTAACAGCTTTTATTCAGGGGAAGCCTCTGCCTCGATGGAATAGAAGACCTAAGACTTTCCCTATTAATGATGTTGGGTTATCTATAATATATATGCTATGCAAATTCATTATTCAACAAGTAAAATACATTTGAAGTTTACAGATGATGTCTCCTGTATGGATTTTATTTTTGAAGTTTGTTGGAACTTACTTGCAGACTAACTCTTTTAAAACATACTTTGGTTCAGAATGGATGTGATGCCAAAGTGCCAGTTAAGACTTACACATTATCCAGAGAATGTAGACAGAATATACGCGATTGTTTGATAGGCAAATGTCTGTAAAATAATATAACAAATCAGACATTAAGTAGCTATGAAAGAGAAACATGTATATTGTTTTAATTGAGGTGTTGGTATTTTCTGTATGGGGAAACAAACCCAAAACAAAGAGAAGGGATTGAAAAGCATTCCACAAATGCTAAATCGCAGTCGGGTGTGGCCTCAGCTGAAACCAAACATTAACACGCCCACCTGATGTTACTACTGATGCACTCAAATACGTTTTTCTTTCACTTTGGTAAGCTTAAGCTGTTTTCAAATGTGTTCTAGAAATAAACTTTACTTTTATACTCAATTCAAAATGTAATGCTGCTTTTGAAGCTTATAATATATTGTAAATAAAACATCAAATGAAGGATGAGCTTGAGGTTTTCGTCAGTGTTTCCTGCCAGTGGTTAAAAAGAATAATTCCACATGAGAGAGAGTGCTGCTTTTACAATGTGCTGATGAAATCTGATTCTGACTGAAACCTTACTCTGCGTGCCCTTTCGTCCTTCTCTGCTGTTTCTCCCTCAGACATTGATGCTGCCAACGGCAACAGCTCAGTCCAAGAGCAGGGAGTTAATCCTGCTTTACACACTACCCAGAATGCCCCTGAGATTGAACACTACGACCAACCAGCAGAAGAAAATGAATCTGACGAACAAGAGGAGACGAAACAAGAGCAGAAGCACAAAGTGGACCAAATTCAAGAAGAGCAGGACAACAACAACAAGGAAGTGGATGCCGTCCAGCCTCAGCACCAACAGGAAGTAGTTCCAGACCAAGAAGAGGCACAAAGTGAAGGCGAGACCCCGAGAGATTTAGCAGAGCCAGAAGACACAGAGCAGGTGGAAACTTTCTTCAGCACAATGAGTCACAGGTATGAAAATGCTACTCAGGAAGGTCACATCCTTTAGGGTACAACTGTTACTATATGATGGTCTGTGATATTTCACCATGACAGTGTTAGGGATCTGAGCTACATGTAGTATTTTTGTCTTTGAGGCACCGCACTCCTGCTGCAGCTTTTGACTAAACTGCACATTGACTTAGTTTGTGGATATATATATTGTATTACCGTGTTGCACAGAATAGGTCTATATTAACAGGTTTGAACTGATTCCATTTCAATGTGTCATTATAAGTGTTTTATATTAGTGTGTTCTCTCTTGATCACATGACACAGAGAGGCCCTCATCTGATATTTGGGTTTGTAAAGCTTCTTTGTTTCACTCTGTGTTTTAAACGTATTGTACTGTCTTTCTTTAAGACCTTGACGAGTGTTACTGAATAATCGACTAGTGTGTTTATGATCTATTCTGTAATATTCAGCTATGACGTAAACATTATAATGGAGAAGAAAAAAACATTGTCTCACTTGAGGGGGGATGGGAGTATTTTGGAGTTGGTCTTTTTTAAATATGTGGGACAGTCTAAGACATAAAATGTAAAAACTGTAAAGTTGTAGACAAGGTAGAGGAATAGTCTCAGGCATTGAACTGCATGACACTGAATCATTTCTCTGGCTTGGTTTTGAAGTTTGTACTCTTTTATTCTGTTTGATTTGATCAAATAAAAACTGAAATGACATACTTCCCTCTAATATATTCTCCTGTTTGAATCTGTTCTACCTTTTTTAGATTTAGTGATATAAGACTGGACGACGACAATGGTATCCCTACACAAGAGTTTTTGGACTCATGCTATGCAATAGTACCTGTATTAGGTAGGCCGGTCACTTTCAGTCTCTCCTCTTACTCTTCCCTCTTTCTCATAACGCTACACATGTGGACATTTCACCTTTTTATAACCTTTATAAAGAAGCCTTCCTTCTTCTTTGTCTTTTCATCTGTGCATGTCCTTCACATCGTCTGTATTTAATGAGGTGGAAGCTTTCTTTCTTGGGTTTATCATCCTATTATTTCATGGTATTAATTTGTTCCTTTGCACCTGTATGTTTTCTAGTGGTGGTATTTACCCTTTCGGGACGAACGGTCTATCTTATCAAGTTCATTGTGACCTTACACATGTTAATGTGGTTGTCCTTTTTTGTCTGCATTACACATTTGACACTCTCCTAAACATATGTTCATGTGGTCTCTCACAATAATGATTTCAACTTTAAAAACATCATTTCTATTTCACCAACTCTGAAGGCATTTATCAGGTGGTTAACAAAAGAGCTCCATCAGACTTACTTAGGAGTGAATCAAGGGTCTGTATTAATAACTACAGTTTTGCTCTCCAGCTGTGCTCACACATTCAAATTGATGACATCTCTCGACACAAACCCAGACGCCATTAACGTCATGCAGCCACTTTCTGAATTGCTAAGGTTCTTAGGTCTTCTAGTGTCACAAGCCTCAGTTATTTTCCCTTCACAGCTGGTGGTCGACCCTCTTCATCATTGCTTTAGAAGACCGCTGCATTTTCAAGACTGACAATTATCATTGTACAGATAACTAAGCATATTTACTTCATAAGAAACAAAAGAAATGATCATGGATTTTCTCTTCTCAGACAAGCTGGGATCCACTGTGTTTGCACCAGTTAAAATGGATTTTGTTGGAAACATCAAGGTACGTGTGCATGTCATTGATATGTAGTCAACTGAACTGCTGAAACTATTTCATAACTACTACTTAGTAATTATTTATCTATTATCTAATATATCATTCCAATAATTTGTATATAGACTCGTAGGCCTATTGCACTATTCCACTTTTTTTTCCTCACTTTTTCAAAAACTATTTTTCTTTTTGTATTACTTTTAATATAGTATATTTTAATATTGTTTTAATATTGTCTTATCTGTATTATTGTGTTGCATTGTTGGAGAAGCCTGTGACCTAAGATTTTCAACGACATAATTACTCTGTAGCTATCTTAGTTTGACAATAAAGAACCTTGAACCTTGTCTTACAGCAGATTTCACTATTAAACTAAAGAGAAAGGATGACGTCGTATGCAAAACCTAGTGAATGATAGAATGAATCAACATTACTTTACGATCTACTGTATTGTGTGTAAACCAAGATGTTCTGTATTCTGTAAAGAATCAGACATATCTCTCTAATAGTTTATAGTTGTATCGGTTAGTTTGTATGCAAATCGCTCCCAATAGCAGAGTAGAATCAGGATTTATTTTCAGAATCTATGTAACTTCATCACCCCGTCTCTTCACCGTGTAGAAAATCAACCAGAAGCTGATTTCAGCCCCAGGCAGCTTCCCCACTCTCCAGTCCATCGTGCTGCATGAAGTTCAGACAGACAACGCCCGGGTCCGCAACTCGGCCACAGAGGCTCTGCTGTGGCTCCGACGAGGCCTGAAGTTCCTCAAAGAGTTCCTGTCAGAGCTCAACGCAGGAACCAAAGACATCCCGGGAGCGCTAAGTGAGTCCGATTTTCATTTTTTACGCCCCACGTCAACAAATACGTTCAAATGCATATAACTGTTTGCATGTTCTTAGTCCCCTCTGCCCCCACTGGACATGGACTTTAACACCACACACACACTCAGACTCTCAAATCCAGCACCAGACAGACACTTTTTTTTTTCACTGCTATGGACAGTCTTGCACTAATGTTCATTCACAAAGGTATAAGTGTATACATATTTTTATATACTTTTGTTTTTGTATTCGGGATTGTGGGAAACGGTATTTCGATCTCTCTGTCTGTACACACAAACTGAAAGATTAATAATAAAGTTGACTTTGACTGCTCATGTTTCTCTCATCCAGACAACGCCTATGGAAAGACTCTCCGGCAGTACCACGGATGGGTCGTGCGAGGCGTTTTTGCTGTAGGTGTTTCTTATTCCCAACAATGCTTTTCCCCTCTGAGGTTGATCTGTTCTTGGCGTGTAACAATGGCATGCTTCTATTTCCTCAGTTGGCGCTGAGAGCTGCACCGTCTTATCAAAGTTTTGCCGCGGCCTTGGTGTCAACAGAGGGCGATGAGCTGAAAAGCAGCTTCACCAGCGGCGTTTGCAGAGACCTGGGAGTGTACCTGCCAGCCATGGAGAATCAGCTGACCATCCTAGATGCCCTGTATGAACAATACAACCTGGAGTCTGATGAAGTGGTGTGAAGCCTGAAGAGAGCATGAAGGAAGGTGCCGGATCTTGTGCATTTTGTGTACAAAGTAGTGTGAGCATGTCTCGTGTCAGGGTGCGGTGTTTTCAGTGGTTGTTAACCTTTACAACAGTCGAGGGTCTTAAAGAAGGTATTAATGTCTGTATTTGGTGACACGCGTTAACCTTACGACATTATGGTTTGTCAAAATGTAGTTTCTGGGTCTTGTTTCAAAGACCATTAACAGAGTAGGGGTTTACACCCTATTATGCAGAATCCAAGCATAATATTTCACTGACATTTGTTTCTGGTGCACACTTTGTGGCAGTATTGTGGCTTTTTATGTACAGGTACATAACCACAAGGTATTTTTGCTCTAATAAATGTCCTGTCTTTCCAAATGTCATTATGTAAAGACATTTTTTAATTAATCAAATTCAAATCCTCCGATTTATAAAACAGAGGAATATTTGCAACTAACAGAGAGCAGTATTTGACTAAAACAATGTGTGATTGTCCCAATATGCCGAGTATGTGATGTAAAAACATAGTTACTGCACTGATATTGAAGTTTAGACATTATGATGTATTTTGATTTTCCTTTCCCTGAATTATGTTCTAGTATAAATCCTGCAGTTTGACAATGTATCATTTTATAATGCTAAAATTGAGAGAGTTTCCGTGGGACCAAAAGGAGCTGTCATGGGAATGGCTTATCCTCTGCTGCCTATAGTACCACAACACACCATAACTTAATAATAGCTGATACAGTACTGACAACTGCTGAATACCTTTGTGGACATCCTCTGCACAAACTTATGCCTAGAATGCGTTTTCACAATGTCTATTTATTACGTCTTAAGTTATGAAGCTCACATGTCATGGGGATCATTGCAGCTCAGCTCTTGTGTGAATGTAAGGGTTTGTTTCCATAGAGCATGTTTATTGATTGCATGTTTTTATGTATTATGAAATATAGTTGCCAGTGGAAACTTATGATAGGCCTAAGCCAAGTTAAAGCATAATCCTAAAGGGATGGCAAGTTATAAACATTGCTTCTCTTTTATCTCTGTACTAATAATGAACAGCAACATTCAGCTAGTCATCTCAGCCATGTTCTGCATATACTTGAGTGTTGTTACCAGCTTTACTTAATATTTGTATTTAATATTTGTTATGATGTCGATTCAACAATGCAAATCTGAATGGTATAATTCCTCCTTTTGGCCAGGTAAAATGTGTCTAAATGGCTGTGACTCTGAACATTTTAGACAAAACTGGAACATCCTCATAGGGCTTTTTTTTAATGAAGACATACCACATAGTATTTTTTAATCTTATTCTGTCAGTTGTTTCTTTTGTTGGGAATGGATGCAGTAATTATTTATATAATTAGGCATTTTCTCCAAGTTTACATCCCAGTTGTGCGATGGGTTGACTTCCTGTTGCAGATAAATTCCAATGAACATGTAATATTGCAAACATTTAATTTGTTTTGTTTTTTACTACTGTATATAAGATGCTAATTGATTTTCACATAAATAATGAGGCTGTTTTAATACGTGTCAAGTGAAACATTTTTCATTAAAAAAAATTGTGTAAAAGGAGTGTATCATTTATCCTCACTTACTTTAATTGAAACAAACCCATGAGACAGCAATAGATGGTACCTCTGCACAGGTGTAGTCTGTGTAAACAACAGGGACACTGAGCTCTACAACACCTTTGCATACCTCGCTCAGAGGGTTTTGCATGGGCACCAGTAGAGACTACAGCGCTGTGCATGCCAGCCATTCCTGCTTATAGGTCAGGGATTTTCACTTGCCTTTGGACAACAGCTGCCTGCTTCCTGTCCCTGTGGCCTCGTTTGCATTACCCATTTCCCCACAGCTGTAATGCTACACCGGCCAACATGCACTAAAATAACCCCTTTTGTTGGAAAAAGTGTTGGATTTCAGTTCATCAACTACATTACACGAGACAGCTCAAAATAGAGATCCTGCTTCCTACAAGTTTAATTTGAGGCCAGTTAGTTATACATTGACTTTTAAAAGAAGTCTTACAGGCTCCCAGGGCAGTAGAATTAGGTTTTTCTCATTGCGGTAGTTTTAGGTTGGATCTTCGACATACATTCACTCTGGATCCAGCGGTCAGTCAGGAGATGGTTCGCTCACATCCAAACCCGGGATTTCACTAAGGGACCATCAATAAATTACCTTTTAATGACACAAAGCAAAAACAATTGCATGATACCTCTCTGCGGGGAAATTCTACAGATGGCCAGTCCACCCCTGAAAAATGTCTATGCACACGTTGTTAATAATAATACAAATAATAATAAAAAAAACTTTTAATTTTAAATTATTTATTTATTTAATCATCTCGCGACCCCCCTCGGGCTCTCGAGACTCCCGGGGGGAGTTTCTTTGTTGCTATACACTCATTTATTCTTCTAATTTCAAATAGTTACAGTCGAAGTTTAGTGGTCATTAGATCAGATGGCATCTTTTATTAAAATATTTAAGTAACATCAATTCAAGACACATCAGTAATAAAGAAGGTGTGCCAAATTACATTTACTATAGTTTTTGGAACAATCTTCCCTAATATGGGCAAGATAGCACAGAGTTTTTGAGAATAAAAAACTCATCTCTTTCGACTCCACTTTGAGCGACAGAATTACTAACAAAGCACTTATATACTAATAAACGACTGGCTTATCTAAAGCCAGTTGAGTAGCACTTGAAATGTTTTGGCTCTATGAAACCTGATGTACTTATATGATTCTGTTATCTTCAAGTTTGTATCTTCTTGGTCGAATGCACTTATTGTAAGTCGCTTTGGATAAAAGTGTCAACTAAATGCAATGTAATGTAAATGTAAAAACCTAAAACTAACTTCACTACGGTGTGGGCCACTGCATCTCCAGCGACATTTAGTGCTGTGCTGAGATACAGTATCTGTGGCACAAATCTGATTGGTCTGGTCAGGGGAATGCACATGATGGGGTAAATACAGCACGGTAGGCTTTTACTCGGGCATCTCAGCAGACAAATTGTCCTGATGTGATTTAGAAAAGAAATACGGCATGCTAATGAAGTTATATGGTGCTTCCCGTCTCAAACATCTCTGCGGCCACACTGGATGGCTGCCCGTCCCCAACCTGTAACAATGTGCATAATGTCTAGGCCCAGACTCACTTCTAAGGGTCCATCGAGACAGAATGAAAAGCTGAAAAAACCCATTGCCTTTTCTGAGAACAGCAAGAGTTCACTGCCTGCTCTTACAATCTAACGCAGCACTCTACCGGGAGCTGCTGACAGCTCCTTTTTTCCACTTGATAGATATCAGCTTTGAGCTTACATCGAGTGCCTGAAAGAACGTCAATAGCATCTCTATCACTGTCTATTCCACAGCTTCGAATCACTCTCAACACTTCTTAACAACACAGGAAGCAAAGCCGCTAGCAAAACCTGATTGAAGTAGAAAAATGCAGCAGGTTTGAATTATTTATTCAGGTTTTATTTATTTTTTTAATTATTCACAATTACTGTATAAATCATACCAGAGAAATGAAACAAAAAATAATTTCCCTCATCCCAGTCACAGTGCATACATTATTTGATAAAGCCGAACAGTACGTTACCACATGCATGTTATGTTTCAGCATCGTTGTGCATACACAGTACAGGATACAGCACAGGCAGACAGGCCACAGACAGGACATTCAACACAGTTTCCAAAAGGTATTTCATCTTTGTGCAAGGCACAGTTCATCATTTTCATACAAGGTGTGTCGTACAACTAGCTACACTGTGCAGAGCAAGACTGAGATTTCTAAAGACACCTAATGCACTGTCAATTGCAATGATTTACAAAACAGTGGAAGCGTTTCACACTAATAAGCACAGTATCACAAGCATGCGGAGACAATACAGTAACAGTCTTTATCTTTCAATTTTTTTGTACAGAATAATCACTTTATAACACCTACACGTACAGTATCAATATGGCTGAGAACAAGTCTCCCTTGGCACTGCGACTTATACACTAGCTTATGGAAAAGTCAGCTTATATCGGTCATTTTCACCTTTGGTGCCAAACACACAGCAGACTACATCTACACTGTTAAGTTTACTGTTGAGTTTCTGTGTATATACTGTAAGACAGAAAAGACTGGATAAAGAGGTATTAGAGTAAATACAATAATGACCATAGGACAGGCTGGAATTGTAATTCTTCCCCCTTTTAGCAGCTACTGAGTATCACAGCCTTTCCTGTTTAGTGAGAGAATTAAGAACATTAACAGTTTCAAGCCTTCATATACAGTAGTATTTCTCACTAAAGCACAGAGAAGAACCTTGAGTTATCTGTGTGCTTAAGCGTACAGTCACTGCCATTTAATTTACAAAAGGAGTAGTTGGGGGTGCCTGTGAAAGGTGCTGTTTGGAGCTACATTACCTGTTGGTTCCTGAGAAGTTTTTTCGGGGAGATTTGTGAAACCTTGTCGAAACTGAAAGTCCAATGTCAATCACAGTTCCACCACAAGCTAATGATTCGACTCATTGAAATATCCCAAGTGCATAATTCATGCACCTCTATCTCCATCCTTAACCATACTTTTGATCTAACTATTTGCATGGTTTAACCTTTTATAACTGAAATTGTTGATGCCTACACAGTACTGGCCTAGTCGTGGCAATAATAAGTATATTGATTGTTAACATGCTTGGATAGTGACAGCTGCTGTCACAGTAATCCCAGCCTCATGCAAATGCTGTGCGCTGCCATTGGCGCTGCAGTAGAATACCTGAGGCCACTGTTTCTCAACAGTAACTGGGTCAATAGAAATATGCCTCTGGCCCGGCTACTGCTCCTCTGCAACATCTCCCACTTAATTAAGTCTCGGCATGGCTGTTGCACAACTGTTGCACCCAGAGGCTGATTCATGGAGAGGAGGCCAGTCTTAGTCCTGCTTGTTAAGACTGAGTGCAGTTGTCCTGTGCATTTCCTATGTGTGGGTGAAGGTTTTTCATCTCCACTCGCCGAATACAACTCCGGGGAGCTACGTGGCATCTCAGCAGAAATACAGAGAAGTTATGTATAATATATATATTCAGATTCATAGGCTGCCGCTACCCTCAGAGTCTTTTTGCTTGGAGTATTATTGTTCTTTTTATTTTGCATGAAAATATTTCAAAGAGCACACAGAGGATCTCGCTGCACTGTCCAGCTTCCTCATCATGTGAAGTACTTGCAGTTTGTAGAGTCGATAACACAGTAGGGTGAGCACTTGAGCTGACCATATGACCTGCAAATAACAGGAGAAACATCACTTTTTGTTAAACATGGCAACATAACATTTCTCACAGTTGTATAGAGCTGGTTAATACACTGAACAAAAATATAAATGCAACACTTTTGTTTTTGCTCCCATTTTTCATGAGATGAACTCAAAGATCTAAAACATTTTCTATATACACAAAATAACCATTTCTCTCAAATATTGTTCACAAATCTGAAAAAATCTGTGATAGTGAGCACTTCTCCTTTGCCGAGATAATCCATCCCATCTCACAGGTGTGGCATATCAAGATGCTGATTAGACAGCATGATTATTGCACAGGTGTGCCTTAGGCTGGCCACAATAAAAGGCCACTCTGAAACGTGCATTTTTGCTTTATTGGGGGGGTCTGGGGGGGTCCGAAAACCAGTCAGTATCGGGTGTGAGGGGTAGGGGTAGGGTTAGGGTAATGTTGTGAATCGAGTGGCCCATGGTGGTGGTGGGGTTATGGTATGGGCAGGCGTATGTTATGGACGACGAACACAGGCCACTCGATTCACAACATTACCCTAACCCTATACATGTCATAACATTAAGACAACATATTCAAGGTGGTTTTCAATAACATATTCCCGTCAAGTTTGTTTTTTATAAATCGCAAACATTGCTTAGAAACTGGCGTACGCCATCTTTTGAGCATACGCACCGTTTATAAATGAGGCCCCTGAACTTTTGAAAGAACATCCATAAACATTCATCTGTTTGCATCTTGCAAATTATTTATCTAATACATCACATTCCATTTACTTGTATATAGAATCTTCTTGCACTATTTCTATTGTATTTGTATTTACTTGCACTATTCTATCTGTTTTATTTGTTCTATGTCCTATATATGTTGCACTGTTGGAGGAGCCTGGTCTACGTTTTTCATTGACATATCTACACTGTAGCTAATGTACAAATGACAATAAAGCCTTGAAATCTTGATAAAGATTTAATCAAAAAAGTCTACATATTTTGTGAAAGCATCAATGACCAACCCTACACTATCGTCACAATATTGATATTGAGGTATTTGGTAAAAAAATATGTGATATTTGATTCTGAATATCGAGTTGTGTTGAGTTGTATACTGTGCTTACCCTGGAAGATATGAATTACATGTCTGGTATCCAAAGTCCTTTCCATCACACTCCTCAGCCCCCTCATAGCGGTATCCGTCTCCGCAGTAGGCGTGTTTACACTCTGTGGTAAGGGGAGACAGCAGAGGTG